CACCTTCCCCGGCATCCCACCTTCCCCAACCTCCGGCCTTCCCCGGCATCCCACCTTCCCCAACCTCCCACCTTCCCCAACCTCCCACCTTCCCCGGCATCCCGCCTTCCCCAGCCTCCCAGCTTCCCCAGGCCACGTGTTGGCACGGGAGAGAGAAGCCTTCTCTGGGGAATCCCGCAGCAGCCGGCCCAAATGTCCCACGGACGCCCATCTCCAGTGAGGCCCTTCTTCTGTCTTCAACAGAAATAAAACCCTGGTAACGCACAGTTGCTCGCACACCGAGGGAAACGAGCCCGCTACCGCTGCTGCTGCTGCTGCCCGAGAAAGGCGCTGTGGGAAGCGGGTGCCCAGCGCGGCGCTGACCTCTGTGGGCGCTGCCGCTGAGGAGGCGGGGAAGGGTCCCACTGCCCCGACACCCCCACGGCCGCCGCACACCGGCCAGGCGCGCCCTGAGCTCCTGCCTGGCCACGGGAGAAGCCATTGGTAGCTCCTCAATTAAACACGAAGCCTTTGACACTTGGTTGCAGGTGACCGCTAGCAGTTAGGAGTGCGTCATCGTGCTGCCTGTCACGATTTGAGGAAAAGCAGGCACCGACCTCTGCAAACGCCTGAGAGTAGCTCCCTTCTCTGGCCCAGTTCAGGCAGTCCCCGGGGTGAGCAACCCGTTTGCTCGCAAGGTGGGCTTGTTTCTCCTGCCTTCTCCTCCCCGCTTTCCACGGCTGCGAGGAGAGCAGAGCTGAGCAAGCCTCTGCTACCTGCTGACGGCATCACAGCTTCCAGCCTCTCCAGCAAAAAATTAAAGGCATGAATAACAGTAAAATGGGCTGAGCCTGAGTTCACGGAACATCTGAACGCTTCAGCTTTACGGTTTGAAATCATTGCGTATGTTTCCTGCCAAGCCACCGGCGCTGCTCCGGCTCGCCACCGGCGCAGCACGGCGAGGGCTGCAGCGGTCCTGGGTTTGTGAATCGCCGCAGCCCCAGAGCGCAGCGGCAAACGGGCTGCAGCGGGGTCGCGCAGCTGTACGCAGGCAGAGCAGGGCCGCCCGAAAACTGCGCGGAGGAAAGGCAACGGTCTCGGAAAGTGGTCTTTTCTCCTCAGCCTCTCTAATTTTATTTGGTCTGCAAGGGAATTGGATCTCCCGTGGCAGTGAATAACCTTGGTAAAAGTAATTCCCAAGAAGTTTTGAAATCAAATTGTTATGATCTGTGGATAAACACGGGTTCAGGGAAATCCATTGCTTACAGGTATCCTCAGAGAGACACTGGGAAATACAGATTTGAGCCACCTACAAAGTGACAGAAATCAGATAAAGAGAAGATCGCTTCTAAATGTTTTAGTGCTTGGCTGTTTGTAAAACTCAAAAATCACTAACTGATAATTGTCAGTGAACAGAGGAACACGCACAAAGAGAACAGCAACAAAAAGAGAAAAAAAAAGGTTGTTTCCTATGAAATGCAGTGGTCCTTGAGTAGTCTGTTTTAAATGCGATAGTCCATCTCTAAAATGCTGAAAATAACAGCAAAACAGAACGTTTTATTAGTGGCTGAAGATTTATTTTGGGGAGGAAAAAGGTTGAAAGAGAATTCAAAGAAGTACAGCAACTTCTTCAGCGTCTGGACGACG